GGGGGGGGGGGGGGCAAAGAAATAGAGAGATATGAATTATCGGCGGATTATAAAATATATATTTAAAATTTGCTGAAATCACACATCGATGTGAAATCTAAAATTTATTATAACCGTTACATTCTCACGTATCTTCTGCAGACACGTCATCTGCCGAATAAAATAAAAATTTTGTTTACATAAAATAATTTCAATTATAATAAGTATATATCTTAAATAAAATCGTCACCGTGTTTTGAATTCTCTTTTATCGATAAAAATCGATAAAAATATCTTAAATGGCTTCTTAACCAATCAGGTGGTTTCTAAGACGCTTTTATCAATAAAAGGGAGTTCAGAATACGGGCGTAAATGTTTAACACGCATTCTAATTTTGACAAGAGCGCAGCGAAATTTGAATTGTCGCGCAGGGCCGCTCGCCCTTTTTCTTGATAATCCCGAGTAAGTTAATGGCGAAAAGAAAACAGCAAAAAAGGCAGACGTGAGTCAGCAAATGTTTGCGCGACGAAAACGCGCCGGAACTTTTCGAGCTCAAGAGGGAATCCTCTCAATTAATCAATCCAACGTTGAAGCCGGGATTCGTCAACATTCCAGCGCCAACTCGGAAACTCGGCGGGACTCTTCGAAGCTCTACGCGGATCGCGCGAGGGATCCTCCGTCCTTGCCCTTCCGCGTCGTTCCGACTTCGGTAACGATAACGGCGTAAATCCTGTTTGCAGGTACCGCGCTACCGATTTCCCTCGGAAGGAGTTTCCGCGCTCGAGGAGTTCTGCGGGCGCTTCGCGCGAAGGGGACACGCTGAGAATCCAGACGTTGGAAATGCTCTTGCGGCGACACAGGCCTCATTTCCTGGATAAAGACGCTCATAGTTTCGCAAGTAGTTCGTCCCAGCTCTCGGGCGGACCGCTTCCTTCCGGAACATCGGGCGATTGCGAGGGCTCTTCGAGATCCGATGACTGGATAGGCGAGTTCCGACCGCGTCCTAAATAGCAGGACCTGGCCGTTAAGACGTACTCAATTTGTACAGCAAGCGGACGCCACTTGACGATGCGTAACTTCGGGAAGAAGAAAATCCCCCGGTTAGAAAAGTAGAACTTACGTAAGAGGAAAGAGGACGAAATTGTAGAATCCAGATTTTCTCCCATGGAGGAAACAAATTTTGCTAGAAGAGCAGATTTTTGTTAACAAATGTTGATACAGTGACAGGAGAAAGAATTTGTTTGGACAGCAAGGGAGATTTGTTAAAAGTATTAATTGCTATTTGCTGTATATACGGATAGCAAAATAATTTGGTTATGTCAAGTAAATTTTATCGCTGTCGCAACGACGTGTTTTCCTACAACAGCAAAATGATTATTTCCGTGCAACAAGTCTTTTTGCTGTCATTGTATCAACAATTCCTTCCAGCAAAATTTGTTCCTTCCATGCCGAAATCGTGGATAAATCAGCGGAACAAATATTCGCGCATTGAGAAAAATCCCTTAGTCATCAAGACCAAAGCTTTTTTGTTACTTGAAGATCTGTCAGGGAAACAGATCAGAAAGTTACTTTATGTTTTGTTGTTTCACGATCTGTTACGGAAACAGATGGAAAAGTTATCGCTGCCAATCATTTATCATCAATTGTTACTTTAGCAAACTATTACGAAGCCAATATAGAAGTGTTTGTTAGAACAGCGAATTAAAAACATAATTTATTTTTACATTTCTCCCTCTACGGGGATCATTCGTTGTCCCACATCTGCAAACCATTTGTTACTGGTGTCTTGTTAATTTAACAAAAGTTTTCCTCTCAGACCGAGTGGCGAACTTATCGAGCCGAGGGTTACAACTCGAGCTACGTTTGCAGTTCCTTCGCGGCTCCATCGACCTCGTCGACGTCTTCATTGACCGCTCTTGCCTCGCAACTCGTCGCGATCTCGTTTCCGCCCGGACGGAAATGCATGTACCGTCGTAAGATTTATCCGCGGCCCTAGTCTCTTCTCTCTCGGCCGCGCACGAAGCAGAAGAAGCAGAAGAAGAAGAAGAGGAAGCGGAGGAGCGAGACGGCGAAGGTATAAAGCTATTCTTAAAATAGGGCTCGAGTGAGCGGCCGCGAGACAGAGAGAAAGAGCGACGAGGAGCAGTTGATCCCGTAGCTCCACGAGGCGAGCAGAAGGGAGGAAGCCGAGGAAAGAGAAGAAGGAAGAAGAGGAGGAGGCGCGGAGATCGCGAGCGAGGAGAGAAAGAGCAGCAGGGCGACGGAGAGGAAGAGAGACAGCGAGCGAGCGAGGGACCCGCGGCGTGCCTCGCGGGTCGCCGGTTCTTCAGGGTCCGAGCTTCGTCCGAAACGAAGCGCCTTCACAGCGCTCGCCACCTTCCTCCCGCAGAGAAGGCCGCTCGAGGAAGCCTACCTCGAAGCGATCGGCTCTCCGCACGCGACCTTGATACCGCGACCTGCCCTCTCCTCAGCGTTGCGGGCCTCTTCTTCGGGCCGCGCCGGTGAATCGTGTGACGGTGGTGTGGGTGCTCGTGTGCTCGGTGGTTGGTGAACCTGGCTGCAGGAAGCGTCTCGAGGAGGACCCGTCCCCTCCTCGCCGCCTCGAAGTGGAGCGCGGGATCATGGCATCGTATAGAAGCTACGTAAGTTCGCAAGTACTCGTTCCCCCGTTGTCGCGCGGCCGGATCGATTTAGCGTCTCGCAACCTCTTCGACGCGTCGGTCCGTCGACGAGCATGGGGGGAAAAGGAGGAGCTGGAAGACGCGGAGGACGACGAGGAATAAATAAACGGAGGATAAATCATTCAGATAACGCGATTTTTCTCCCGCTTTTCCACTTTCCCGGTGATGTTCTCTCTCTCTCTCTCTCTCTCTGTGGACGCGGGCTGAAAGATTCCCCGCGGATATCTGCAGCGAAAAAATACCGGCGAGCTCTTCGGTGTTTGCGCGATGACGCGGCCGTGTCCAGATAAACGTAATTTCCGTCTGATCGATGAGATCGGTATCTGCGGCGCGATCGCGCGCACGCCCGCGCGATTCGCGCCGATACTCTCGGCCACGTGCCCGGATTCCAGCCGGCGCGCGTTGCGCGCCGGGTTATCGGCTGAAATGGATAGCCGCGATTTGCATTCGCATTCGCGAGGCGGAACGCGACACACTTGCCATTCGCGTTATCGCCGAGGATCTGGGATACGGCGTCACCATCACTCATGCGCGCCGTCGCGCGAAAAGTGCCCGGCCAATTATCGATGGCGCTTTTTCTCCTCATTTCCACTCTGAAATAAGTCTCCTGGCGCCGGTCTAACGTAATCCACAGTCGCGTTATAAGCCCACGCTTCCGCATGCGTGTCCGTGTGCGTCAGGTAGGATCGAGCGAACGTTACGTCGCGTCTCGATATCTTTATCGGACGCTTGTGCACCGTCGGTTTAAGGTAATAACTCATGATTACGGAAATGGACGGATTCAATAGCTGTTCCAAGTAAAATGGTATTTTTTCGCGTAGCCCACGGCAAGTCTCGTAAGAGAGTCGGTAACAAATTATCGAGGTTGCGGGAGAAAGATCCGAAAGAATGTCCGATTCGAAGTTTTAAATTCTAAAGTGGCAAAGTGGATTAAACGTTCAAGCGGAAAAGACGGAAATAAGTTCGCAGTTGTAATATCAAAAGAGTAAAACAAGTGCTCTTTTAATTTTAGTTCTACATTAAGTCTTCAAGTGGAGGGAACTGCAATAACTTCTCCATTTTTAGCACCGGGGGAGCACAATATAAGAGCTTGGAACACTTGACGTAGAACTAAGTTAGGTTTAAAGTAAGACTAAAACTTCGACTCGGGTGTATCCAGTAGGTAAAATGTTAGCATATGTCGGCAGATTGACAGCAGATTCGACTAGAATACCTTGGCAGATCTTTAGCTATCTGTGTTCAATAAGCTCGTGTTCTGTCGACAGAATCCGTTGACATGTCTTGACGGCAGACTGGCGACAGAAACCGAGGGCAGGTTCCGCAATATTCCATTTACATACATTTAAGTGCCGACAGAAGGACAGATCCCGCTCGGTTTTTGTCGCCAATCCATCATCATAATCTGTTAGCAGATCACGTTGTATTTCTGCCAACAAAATTTGCAGCGGGCACTGCGCAAAATCTACCTCTGCAGGTTGGACTGCAGGATATTATCCGGATATCCGGGTATCCTGTCGCGTCTCGATTGACGACGACCGGATTAATCCGACGACAATTTCGCAAACCGCATTACCGTCATCCACCATCTCCGTACTCGCGTTTATGTAGGTCTCTCGCGCGTTTACGTCGTCCAGCAAGCCGATTAATTCTCACAATCCCGCGGAGAGCCGCGCGCAGCGCGTACTTAACGAACGTGTGCAGTGTAAATGAGTGTTTTAAGCATACCGAATATTCAAAGGGCACCTTTGCTCTCGGTTCTGGTCGTTGGTCCTCGCGTATAATTTGAGTGCTGGCTCCGCTTTCGTCGTAATTATGCAATGTAAATGAAGTCCATTAACTTTATCGTCCGAAGGTCCAGGTCGCGGCGACCGCCGCCACCGCCGCTTATGCCTTCCGTGAACGAAACCGGGTGTTTGGGAAGTACCGCTAACTCGCGAAAAATTCTCTCGATAGCGTCTATTCGGCGCTCCTCGTCGTTGTCATCGTCGTCGTCCATTGTCGTCTACGTCATCATTGTCACGCAGCCGGCGACGCATAATTTTCCGCGGTACGTTCGCGCGTGTTTCGCGTGTTCACGCCTGACGGATTATCGTAAGGAGGGGGGAGAGGGGTAATATCCTTTTATTCGTGCCGGCGGTTTGCACTTCCGTGCCTTGAGTTTTTCACTTTTAGTTCGGAACTGCGGCAACGGAGCAACTGCGCGATGCCGCGTAATGTTTCCACACGAGCATTGTAGATCTCGCGCGGGCTCGTAATTAAATTCGCCCCTTTATCACGAATGTTTCGTTAGAACAGCGCCCGGCATGACTTTGCCGCCGCGGAGTCGCAGCCGGCGGAGAATTCAGCACGCAGGAAATGAAATTCTGCAAAACAGCGGTCACATTTAGAAATACGGCGATGCCGGGGAGTTTGCGGGTGTATTTAATTATTTCGGCCGGCTTGTGTGCCGGAATTTTACGCGGGAACACGGTTTCTTCGGAAAACTCGCATAATCAAATATCGCGCGTGAAAAGAAGCGGCGCGTCTCGGCGCTTGTAATTAGCTTGATGCAGCTAATAACGCGCGAACTAATTACATTAATATGCAAGATTATTCCGGGAATTAAACTAAACTACACGGCTCTTTCCGTTAAGCGAAGCCACAAATATAAACATAGAGGGCAAAGTTGAATGAACACAAGGCATGATGAACCGCGATTCACCATGACGATACTATCTTCGCAGGTGCAACGACGCACCTGAAGAAATTATTATCGCAAGTGCAGTTAAAGTCCGTTCGATCGAGCTGAAAATGTACCGTAGATATTTCTAGGAAACGAAAGATCCATATTCTATCCTAACTAGCGATGTTGTGACATCATGAAAGTATCGATAGTATAATATTAAAATAGGTATCGAATCAAGAATACCGATATCATTAATGATATTAATATCAGAGCAAAAGTATGGATAATAAAGTAAATAAGTAAATAAAATATAGATGAGTATGGATCAATATCAGAACAAAAGTTACGTCTGCTTTGAAACTTTGAAAAACTTAAAATTAGAGGAAATATAGAAATCAATGAAGTGTTTATCTTACGAACTACTTTTAAAGATTTCGTACATCCATACGTGATATAATCTTACTATGATATATGTAAAGATACATCTACCTTTTGCACTAGACTTTCTATGGTTTGCCATCTGAAATAGGATGTGCTAAAAGCTTTGTTTTCGTAATAACTATTCTTGTTTGATGTTCTCAGAAACGAGAAATTGCATGCCAGACATTATTGTGATATACATGGAAATAAAGCAATATACGCGCAAAATGACACTCGTGATCGACTCTGCACACTAGTAAAAATGTCCGGAATCTTCCCTTTTACTTCAGCAGTCAATAAATAACCGTAAAATTAACCGTAACAGAAATCATGAAAAAAGATAGATTAAAAATATAACTTGCATGTTACACAAATTTTCATAAAACAAATATACATGATATTTCGAAAATCGACTAAATAAACAATAATAAGAAAAAGGACATCGAAAAGATATCGAAACAAAGTAATACTGGTATGGGGACGAGTATCGAAAGAAAATATCGATACAAAAATACCCGATATTGAAAGGAAAATGTCAATACCAGTATTATATCAGTAGTATCACACATCCCTAATCCTAACACAACATGAAGCACATCATGCGACCCGAAATCTCGCGCTGTCAGTAGATATAGACGCGTTCACGTCAGACCGGTCGGGCGCGACTCGCCGGAAAATCTCGGGTACATGGCTGGGCGGTTTCCTTATCATTCGTCGGAGGATCACGCGACGAGTGACTTCCAAGCGCGAATTCCCGGCTGCGTGAAGACCCAGAAACGTATTCGTTCGCACCGGGTCGCCGGCGCGTTCCGGCGCGCGGCGCGGCCAGCAAAATTAGCTGGGTCTTTCCCGGACGACGTCTGCCCGCGCCCTCGCGCGTGTATATATTCGTGCGTAAAAGCTTTCTTCTGCCTCGAATACATACAAGCACACACCGCGATCGACGTCGGAGGCGGCCTACCGGGTGTCGGATTTCGAAACACGAACGCCGCGATGCGACGACGCGATCCTGAGGTCGCGCGAGGGAGACACGAAGAGCTCCCTTGGATCTCCCTCTCTCTCTCTCTCTCGAAAGCTCCCGAGAGACAAGAGCTTCCGGCGCCTTCGTGAGGTTTGCCGTCGTCTACCAATAAGGATCTTTGTACGCGACCTGGATGCAAGAGCATACCCTTGGGCCGGACGGCCTCCTCGTCTACCTCTCTCGAGTTCGGAGCGCGCCGCGAACTATACGTCGATATATCACGCGAGACGCATGTCGTCACGTGATATTTGTCGCAGACAATTCCCGCGTCTCTCACGAACTCGAATTACCGTCGCGCTCTCGACGAAGAACGAATTCGCATTTGCTCGATGCGTCTTTCGTTTCGCGAGGTGCGACGTTGCTCGATCGCGGGTAGCGTGCGAACGGAGACGCTCCCCACTGTGCGTCGACGTCGGTGATTATTTTAGACGGTTATTAAGCTCGGCGTAAACGAGGCGAGAAAGAATTCTGAAGAGACGCAAGACTGTCGGAGCACAATATGACTCGTTAATAATTCTCTCCCCCCCTCCCCTCCCCCCTCTTGGATACGCGGCACGCTTTCAAAGATTAGAACGGTGCGGAGGTGTTCGTTGCAAGCGCAAGGCAGCGAGGTTGCCTCGTGGAAGCCGTAAACGGAGAAAAGGATTTAACGGTTTCTTTTGAATATTTCAGAGGGAGCAATCGTGGGCTGCAAACGATGGCGCGAATGCTTTTAATCGAGCGTACCTCGTTCCTCTTTCTTTTATATCCGCCCGATGCTCTTTTCCTCTTCTTTTTGCATCGCAATAGAGCCCGATATTTATTGCTACGCAACTGTAAGCCCCTCGAAAAAAAAAAAAACAGAGACTGGCTCTC